CTGGCACCCAGTCTAGAGTAAGAGAATGTGTTAAACAGACATAATAAGCTTTAAAATATTATAAAACATGAATTTATTTACAAACAAAATGAAACTATAATATTTGAACAAACTTTTTAAAAAGGTCTATCTTTCATTCTTATAAAGAACAGGATTACTTAAAAATCAGTTTTAAATGACATGAACCACAACATAATTTTAGAAGTAAAAAACATTTTACAGAATGGTATCTGACAAAAACAAAACTTAAAAGCATCTAGAATATATATTGATAGAGTTTTTTAAAAGATCAAACTTTTCCAGTCACATTGTTTTGAAAAATTCCGAAGTATGCCATGTTTAACCAACAGTTTGCTTCCAAATAGGAGTCTCCTTGGAGAAACTAAGTATCAATTTTCAAACAACTATGCTCCCCCATTTGGTTGCTGGAATCATTCCGATTAAAACACAGATCTTTACTTCAATGTAAATTAATATGGCTAAAGACGCCAATCCTGAGTTGTTTTCTTTTTTCTCCATTAAATTCACTAGTACACATACATATCACTTTGAAGCACCATCAAAAAGAGAAATGGAAGACACAATAGCAGATGGAAGATTATCTGCCTCTGGAAGAGCCAAAATTAACGCAGACTTCATTTTCCTGATCTATAAAGGAGTATAACCACATCCTCCATGATTATTTCTCTTTCTAAAATGCTACATATTTGAAGGCAGACTTTGTGCCCTTCCTCCTGTCCCCTACATCCCCCCACCAATTGATAGTAATTAACATGGATTCTGGAGTCGGCTTGCCCAGGTTTGAATCCCAGCTCAGCCAGTTATTTTGTGATCTTGGACAAAATACTTAAACTCTACTCAGTTTCCTAATGTGTAGAGTGGGGATATTAACAACAGTACTGATCCACAGAGTTGTTATGAGGCATAAACAAGATAATGTGGGTAAAGCACTTAAAACAGTGACTGATACAATGTATATAAGTTTTCAAATCTGTCTTCACCATCATTCACTGCTTATGGGAAGAGATCTTGACTATGCCATATGAAGAAAAGAATGTCATATGGGAAGATATATTAGGTTAAATCACCAAATATATGAATACAAAACACAAAAATTACTTTTTAAACATTTACCTTAGCTTCATACAATTCGGGAAACATTTTAAAAAATATTTTAATAAACAGACATGGATGCTATAAAATACTTTGTGGACCAAAACTTAAAACTCTAGAGAAAAGTTAACTCAGACAATAAGTTTAAGTACAAAAACACCTGGAAATGTAGCACAGTATCACCACCTAGTGGATACTGCATTAAAAAATCTTACAGATGGTGCTTGCCCTACTTATTTGTAAGGCGAAAAGCCTTTTCAAATAAAAGCACATTCTGTTTACGAATGTAACGGGTATTACAAAATAGAAAATAAATTATTTTAATAGCAGTACTGTCCAGCACTATAGCTAAAATACCTCATACTAAGTCTGTATCTCGAATTTGTTTCTAAAACAAGGGAACAGAGTTAAAAGTAGTTTTTTTCTTCAGAAATTTAAAATGTCAGTCACCATACAAGCCACCAGATATACTTCACCATGACTTCGCAATTAGTGCAGAAAATATTACCCATAAAAAACTTAGGAATTTCAAACCACAGTGTTGTAAGGTATCTTAAAAAGCCATTTTATTCTACCTACTTGCTATCTGAATCTCTTCTGAAGCATCCTTGATAAACAGAATCTTGGCTCCAGAAAGTATAGGTAAACTTACTTTTTTTCTGGGCCCGTTCCCCTGCAGAGACTAAACAATTAGAAAATGTATGTTTTTCATGAGTTGAAATCTGTTGGCCTTTGATTTACAGGTGTGAATAGTCCAATCCTTCCAAAGAATTATTCCTCAACTATGAGATCTTACAAAGTTATGGGATCTCTGCTCTTCCAAGTTAAACATCTATATATTCTTTTAGCTATTTCTCTTCAACAGAACTATAAACACTCATCATCTGTTCATGCTCCTTTAAACAGTTCTATCATTTCTAAAAATGACTGCATCCAATATAAAAAATAATATGCCATGAATGGTCTGGCTATTGAAGAGCAAGGACAGATTACCACCTCTCTCTCCATATTCTACTTCTCTTAAGGAAAAACTTTCATGGTGAGGCAGAGTAGCAGCCAAAAACTCAAGGCTTGGAAGTCAGACCAATCTGTGTTATTAAGTAGTTGACTGATGCAAGTTACCTGATGTGTTTGACTTTTAGTTTCTCCAGCAGTCAAACAGAAATCAACATCTGCCTCATATAAATAAGATCAAATGAGACAGCATTTGTAAATCAGCCAGTATAATGCCTAGCACACTATAGGTGTTCAATAAATAATAGCAATTATCATTATTACTTTTCCTCCCTCTTCTTCATTTTGCATATGCCATACACACACATATATGGTTCAACTGAACTGAAATGACTTAAGTTTCAGTGAAAGATCAATGCAATGTGTAATATTTTTCTCATCAGAAAAATACAGTATCTCTATTGGTCTGATGGTGGTGCAGAGTTCAAATTAAAGTAATATTAAATTCAACAAATGCTCATTTTTTTAAAAGCACAATATAAGGATATTTTGGATTACTTCACTGTGACAAAATTTATTATCCTAGAAATAATCTCCAAATAGTAAAGAATTTAGTGTTGGATTTAGGAATATGTGTTAACAAATATATCCTCCATTTATCCATTTTTTATAATTTTCTCAGCTATACAGGCTTTAGTATATTGGAAATGTTGTCTTGTTGTCAACATTTAAATACATTAAAAAGTACCCTAAATAACAGTTATCCCTAAAGTAGCAAAATTCAGCATAAGTAAAACAACATAAACTATTCATAATTGGTTGAAATCTCTTTGCCCTTAAAAGTTTGATAATGATCAAGAATTCTGCTGCTATTATAATGGTAGATAGTAACTTATTTTTCTTATTTTAAATAAACAGCAATAGTTTTGAAATCACATCCTATTAGAAAAACAACACATATTTTCAAGTAAATACATGTGTAAGTATTAAACACTAGAGTAAATTAAAAATTTTAAAACTAGGTCAGGAAGCTTAGGCACAAAAGGGTTAGAATGTCTCATTATCAAATATGTGATTTATTTCCTGAAATTAGTTTATGGTTATATATCATACTTCTTCTAGGATGTTCACTTCATTCCATACTAAAAAAACTTCATTCAGCATACATTTACTCAATATTTATTATATGACATATTTATGAACTTTATGGATATACAGCAGGGGTTGAGTTCTTTTTGAAATAGGGCTAGATGGCACTGACTTAAGACAAATACTATTCTCATTTGAAGGGAGGACCAAAGGTTAAACCACTTGCTTTATCGATTCCAAAACCACAATCAAATACAGAACTCCTATGCTTTTTCTAGTCCATGGTTAAGTCATATTTAAATTTCCATTAAAAAAAACTTATTCATATTATTTGCATGATGCTTCTTTCTTGTTTTTAACGAAATTCTAATTATTTTTAAAATAATAAATGCTCTCTAACCTAATGAACTTGCATTGATTTCTTTATAGAAATATTTTACTTGAAAGTGAGCCTAAAGTAATAGTCCACTATTTAGAGGGTACAGATAAAAATTGCGTATCTCTTTTCTTTTCCTTTCCTGGTCGTCAAACAATTATAAAGAAAAAGAAATGTCAAGCCCAGTGGCGGTTGAATTCAAACTAGAAATACACTATATTATTTATTTATTAGAAATAAACTGAATTAAGCCATTTTTATTAAGGTACGTTGTGACAGGCTAAGCACATTCCTGAAATAACTCTAAGAAGAAGGAGGAAGAGACCAGAAAGCTAACATAACTTCTCTTGCCAAAATGACATGCTATGCTTAAACTGAGAAATGACTGTATCAATATTTCCAAATAATTTACATACATAGATGCATTAGAAAAGATTTCTAGGTATCCACTAAAAGAAAATATAAATGTGAGGAAACACAACACATTGGAACCTTCCTAATGCTATATAGAGATAATACTCTGTATCTACAGAATTTCATACAAGGTAGAAAAAGTCCAAAAAGATATATTACTGGGCCTAAAAAACTTACGGACCAAATCTTTTTATGATATTCTTTAAAATAACCCCATTTAGGGCTTCCCTGGTGGCGCAGTGGTTGAGAGTTCGCCTGCCGATGCAGGGAACACGGGTTCATGCCCTGGTCCGGGAAGATCCCACATGCCGCGGAGCGGCTGGGCCCGTGAGCCATGGCCGCTGAGCCTGTGCGTCCGGAGCCTGTGCTCCGCAACGGGGGAGGCCACAACAGTGAGAGGCCCGCGTACCGCAAAAAACAAAAAACAAAAAAACCCCCAAAACCCATTTACAGACTTTAATAACAATAACTGCAAGGCCCCACAGGGTCTCTAGCTTATCAATACTTTTTTTTTTTTTTTTAAGAATTACCTTCTAATCATTAAGTCTAATTTTTTAAAAAATAATATCAAACATATCTATTTGGTAACTCTTGAAAAAGAGTCAAAACACATATAACTTCAGGATGTTTCTAAAAGCAGCTCTGTAGAGCACCTTTTAATTCACAGCATTCCAAAAGATCTCTTAAAAGGGCAGGGACTCAACACTTAAAAATGAATTAGAACAATGATTCCTTTAATACATGGAGTAGAATAGTTTCCTCCTTCTTGCCAGACTAGAGAGAAAAAGGTTTTTTTTTTGTCTCAGAAATATGCCTAAAAAACAAAAGCCTTGCACCAATGGCATCAGATAAGAAATTTCTTTTTCCTAAATTGCACATTTGGGGGAGAATTTTGACTTCATATCTCCATTATAAAATAATTATTTGAGTGTGCTTTCTTGTCTAATTAAAAAAAAGTTTCAGTAAAAACATTTGTCCTACAGTCACTGTTATAACTAAAGAGTCAATCTACTTTCTAAGCACTAAATAGAGTACAGCTTGGCCCCAAAGAGTATGTAAAACCAGACTTTGCATTTATTACTCAAGACTACACTTGTATTTTTACCTGTGCATAATTTTATATTGCAAATGAACAGTACCTTCCAAATCCACTCATTATTTAAAACCCAGAGAAAGCATAATCCAACACTTAAGACAGTTCACACAGTTATTGAAAAGTTTACAAATGTAAAACTGGATTAAAAAATGAATTCTAGTTACAGTTCTAAGTTTACATGTCAATGTTAGCATATCCAAATAATACTTCTCTGTTAGGGAATGACAACCCAATGAATGTACTCCAAATAGCAGACACAGAATCCAAAATTAATCCCACCAAATCCTACCCAAGCATTTGTTCCCTAATCTACAAAATAAGACTAGATCAAATAATTTCTAAACTTCCTTTAAATTCTAACGTTTTTTGGATAATGGAATCAAATACCAGTTACTTTTAGTTTTATAATTATGTGACCCTGCAAGTCACTTGTTTTTAACCTCTCTGAAAAGATGCAATTTTATTTAAAATATCTCATCAAAAATTTATTTCCTACAAGTTTTATGAAATTTATTGTAAAATCTCCTTTGGTAACTTTGGTGGGTTAAAAAGTGCCCCACAAAAAGATAGGTCAACTTGGAACCTGTAAATATGACCTTATATGGAAAAAGAGTCTTTGTAGACATAATTAAGTTAAAGATCTGAACACACAATTATCCTGGATTAGGGTGGGCCCTAAATCCACAGACATTGTCCTTGTAAGAGAAAGAAGATGGGAGGAAGGCCATGTGAAGACAAAGGCAGATACTGGAGTGATACATCTATAAACCAAGGAACACCATGGACTGCAGAAGGTAGGAGAGAAGCATGGAATGGATTCTCTTTTACAGCCTCCAAAAGCAACCAACACTGCTGACATCTTAATTTTAGGCTTCCAGCCTCCAGAATTCTGAAATTTTTTTTAAGCCACCAAACTTGTGGTAATTTGTTACGGCAGCCAAAGGAAACTGTATTTCAGAAAGAAAAGCCCTTTTAAAAGGTATTATTATCAATACAATTTATCTTTGCTCATGATATATTTCATATTAGGAACGGTGAAAGGACTTCATCATTTCTAGATTTTTAATAAAAATCAACAATTTGATTCCTAGATAAACACAGAAAAGCCTCTATTTTACAACATTTACTATCTATGTGAGTCTATTTTACCTTATGATTGAAATTATATTTACTAAAATGCTAAACAACTTTTCAATCAATAATATTACCTAATCATTTGTAAATATTTTTCAAAGACTTTGCTACTTTTTCTGAAGAGAATTAATAAATAAACTTGTATACAAAAAAGTTTCCAAGCTTTTTGAGTGGCCAACAGTATCAAAGAAATATCATGAGATAGCTATGAATAATTTTACTTTCCCATCATTATTCAGGCTTATGGAGCAAGTCTTAAACTTTTCTCAGTTCTTTACCATTTAACTTCCTTGTGTCATAGATAGATAGATAGATAGATATACATATATATATATATATGTATATATATATACATATTTCACATATATATATTTAAAATACATATTTCTGATATTTAAAGCACAAAAAATCTGATGTGATCTGCGGATCACCATGGTGCCTAAAAGAAATTTAAAAATTTCTACGTAGTTTTCATTATGGAAATAGTCTAAATAATAAGTCTATTTTTAGAGTTCAAGATGTTTCTGATATTACCACATAAACCTCTGAATGTCCTGACTATTTGGCCACTGAAAAGTTTTATTCAGAAAGATATAAAAAGTTAGGAAATTCACAACTGCATAGCAACCCAGCTCACAAACAAGTCTGGATGTAGGTGGCAGAGGTATGTTAAGCCTATAAATAACATAGGGTAAAATGAAGTAACGAAATTCTAGCAGTTTCTGAGGTACTATAACGGTGAATAAGCATATGAAAAACATTAAATTCCAGAATATCGACTTTGATTTCAATGAGTCAGCGATACTCCAACCGGCAAATATATAAACTGGAACTAACAAATATTTCACAATTTCATATCTTTGAAAAACTCTTTTCCACACATAGAATGTATAATGTCTATTATCTGCTAGCAAGTATTTATGAGCATAAGTAAATTTCCAAACTAAAAATATGGAGACTAAAGTAATCACAAAAAACTGAATTCTCCGTTTCCAAACTAAGCAAAGAAAAGACCTGATTTTCTTAAGAGACAGTAGGTGAGGAAAGGAAAAAAAGAGAGTAAAAGAGAAAAAGTAGAATAGCTGAGGAAAGTGTAGGCAGGCTTCATGACTACTCCGGTCACCAATAACAATTCCACCATTAACTACCACAAAAGCACAAAACAGAAACATTAGAAGGATGTAGGGCCAAGTCAAAAGGAAAAGCATACTCAAGTTCTTAAAGGACATGGAATAAGCCAAAAGGAACTGAAGAATTTTCCTGAATTCTGAAAATGGTCCTTTAATAGAGGGAAGCTTCTCTTCTTTCTTCTTTTGTAGCTCGGTTTTCCAAGCTTCAGTCAACTTTTGTGCAATGACGTTTCCTGCGCAGAAGATAGCCCAGATGATATTTGTTTGACGAAACATGAAGCCACAAAATCCAAGCAAGGCTGAAGTTTTATGATTTCCATAAAGACACATCAAGTAGGCAAAAAGAGTAAAAAACATGGATCCTGCTTCTGTATAATAAAGGAAGTTAAAAAAATAGAGTGTGGGAAATACTGCTAATGTTAATGTTGACAAGATTCTCTGGATACTTGAGGCAGCCTACAAGAAGAGAAAACATAGTTCACAATAAAACAAATAGGCTGTTTCTGCTGAGCTAATGAACTAAAAAACAAAAAACTGCCTGACTCTTATTCAAAAAAAATATTCAACATTAATGTTATTTCTGGCTTTGCAAAAACACAGTATGTATTTATAAGGGCACTTTCTGATGCTTTTTAGTTACACCTAGCAGTTTGGAAAGCAGTAAGACAATACATGTGTGTGTCAAAGCCTACAATACTTTGAATCATTCAACAAATAGTTAAGGAGTTATTGTGTGCAAGACAATGACCTCAGTTCTATGGGGAACACGGAGACAAATGGAACACAGTGCAGGTGGTTCCATTTCAGTGAGCTTATCTTCGTGCCTTCCATAAGCATTCACTTAGCCATCATCACCAATTTCTTTTAAAGATATCCCTTCAAAACTGTGCACTAGAGAGAATATAAATATGTATATACCATTTATACCACTATACACAATGATCTTACTATTTTATGATGAAATTACAGGGATCTTCCTGAAAATAGTGGGCCTAGTCTAAAGTTTTAGACATCTTCTTTTGGGCTGATAGTCTCAGGTAGAATTTGAAAGTATTCTTATCTCCTTGAATTCTATCATCCAGTTAATCTAAATCACCAAGCCAAACCATGCCATTACCTTGATTAAAATTAAGGCTGTCCATCACCTATTAGATAAAGTTTAAAATGCTTTCCATGACATAAAAATATATTTGTGACTTCTCCCCTACCTTCTTCTACAGACTTCTGCAGCCTCACGTCCCTGTACTTTATAATCTTATAATTCCAAATAGCAATTCCCTGCATCTTGTTGTTTAATGCCTTTCTACTTTTGCTTATGCTGTTAATCCTGTCAGGATTCATTCCCATCCTACAGTCCTATCTGTCATCAAGATTCAGCTCAGGTACCATCTTCTCTGTGAAGCCTTATCCAATGCCACCCACACCTCTCCCTCCCAGTCAGGGTGCAACAAGTGCTCCTCTGCTCCTTCTCTGTATCCTCATAGCGTTTTATAGCTATTGCTCTCTCATAATTTACACTATTGAAATCATCTCTTTAAGCTAAAAGTAACTATTATAATTAATATTTATTGATTCCTTACTATATACCAGGCAATATTCTAAGCACCTTCCACTTATTAAGCTCTTCTACTCTTTAGAACAGTCCTATGAGGTACAGTCTATATTTTTCCTATTTAACTGACGAAAACAAGGAGTCACTAAGGGGTAACCTGCAAAGTAACACAATTAGTAAGTGGATAGAATTCAAATCCAGGTAATCCACCTCCAAGGCCTGCATTCTTAAATCATAGAAAATTGCTTGGGGGCTTCCCTAGTGGCGCAGTGGTTGAGAGTCCGCCTGCCGATGCAGGGGACTCGGGTTCGTGCCCCGGTCTGGGAAGATCCCACATGCCGCAGAGCGGCTGGACCCGTGAGCCACGGCCGCTGAGCCTGAGTGTCCGGAGTCTGTGCTCCGCAACGGGATAGGCCACAACAGTGAGAGGCCTGCGTATCGCAAAAAAAAAAATAAATAAAAAATAAAAAAAGATTGCTTGGTAACCTCTGTTTCCCCTAATGAAGATATAAGTTTTATAAGAAAAAGACTGTGTCATTTACCTCTGTAATCTCAGCACTTAGCATACTGAGATATTTACTGAACTGGTTTAATTCATGAAAATTTATAGATTTTATAAATAAATAAGAGTAATTCAAGTATTTAAACACAAGTATCTTCTAAAATGGGGGTAGGGGGCTTGCTTTATCTTTACAAAAGATACACAAATATTAAATGTTAAATACATTTTTCACCAAATTTCATAAAACAAATTCACCATAATTGTGGAATTGACTGTACATAAACTTAAATATAATAAATTATTTTGAAAACAAACCTTGTGCCTGGGTTGCACCTTGTGGAGAAGCAAATATAGTAAATAGAAGTTGCCAACACTGAAGAGAAGATTAACAAATCTGAGCATTCCAATGGAGCAGACAACGTGTTCTGACCATCCGAAGATCCAACTGGCAGGTTTGACCACTCCAACTGACAGCAGGTATAAGCCAGGTAATGTAGTGATCATGGGGTCCCACTTAAAAAAAAGGTCAACAATGAAGCAAAAGCAAGAGGTAATACTGATAGGACTGACACAGAGATGTCATCTTTACCAATAATCGGCATTTTGGGAAGTTATCCTAAGTCACAGTTAAATGAGCAAATCAGATGCCTCCTCTAAAGAAAAGTTTATCTTATGTTTTGTCCCTGTACCTGCTTTGTGATTGTTAAGGTACAAGCAACCAGCAGACAACAACTTAAACTCAGTTTCTATTTTCCAAGATATACTCTTTGGAGGGCGTGTAATTTGGTGATTGAATTGCAAATGCTCCAGTTTTAAAAAGCCTGGAATCATCCTCTGGAACTCGGATGGATTTAGAGAAAAAAATGTTTAAAGAGATTAAAGCACAGGATCCATAATGACAACTACAATGTAGAGAGCCATGAATTGTGCTAAATCCTCTGTATATAATCCTGCAACAAGCTCTATAGTAGATACAATTTTACTGTCATTTTCAGATGAGTAACCTGAAACTCAGAAAATTTCCAAGCGACATGACTAGTAAATAACAGTGCCAAGATTTAAAATCAGGTCTTCTCTAACTATAGACTTTATATTTCTAACCACTACTCTACAATGACTTCACCAGAAGAGAAGGATATGTCTGTTTTTGTACCCATATCTACACAACTATGTAGCCAAATATATACTCAAACATGCTGGCACTTCACTGGTTGCCAGTTTATCTAGTTAACAGAAGGTTGCTAAAAACACCAAGGATGAAATTAATGTAACTTGTCACTTCTTAGTAGCTGAAGATTCCCCCCTCCCCCTCCTATCCGACTCCCAAAATACACAGTGAGATGCTTGACAGGTGAGCTAAAGTGAAATTTTCTGACATTTCCTAGAAGCAATCCAATGCCTCTAATCCCGGGACTGGCAAAGAAAACTAGGATAGCTTTCATCATTAGCCAAAAAGAGCGGCAGTAACTCAGTTCCCCATTAGTTAATCTCCCAGAGCTTTTCTTGCTAGGAGACAGATCTGCTGTTTATTCATTCATTTAGCAAATATTTTACAGATCTCAGAGACAGGAACAAAAGATTACCCAGTTCCTTTCCTGTTTGGAGTAGAGGGAGCTAAGGATAAAGGTAGGAAAAATTAGAACTGGGGCCAGCTCTTCCCTTTCTAGCCTGTCCGAGGGTGCAGACAGGTTGGGGATCCCACCTGCGAGAGGGAGAAATGGCCCTCACAGTAGCGCTGTGCCTGCGGCAGGTGGAAGATCTCGTCCATGTAGGGCTCTCGCAGCGCCCGGCTGAAAGCAGAGAAAAGGAGGCAGGACACTAAAAAGGTACAGCTCAGGGCTGCCGAGAAATAGTAACCCTCCAGCTGCGCCATTCCTGCCCGCATAGCCAAGAATCTAGTCCTGGAAAATATGTGCTGGATTCTCAGGTCCCCAAAGTCGAGCTTGACATTCGGGCTCGAAATGGGCGCGCAAGGAGGGACTGGCCGGAGGGAACTGAGCATAGCCGGAAGGCAAAGGATGCTGGGAAGAGCGGACCCTGAGCTTCCGGAAGGGTCGGGTCACTGTTTTCCGAGCGAGGAGTTTAGGTAACGCACCGGACCGTTGCCCTGTCAATCACGTTGCGCAGGGCGCACTGAGTGGTCAGAGCAGCCGGAAGGGGCAGACCTCGGGGTATCTGAGGGCGCTGGAGTTGCGCAGCTTGTTGCTTTGAAATGAAAGCAGCTGCTTATCCTGAAGGTCTTTGTTGGCTTTTTTCCTGCTGGTCCCATTTCTCACCAGAAGGTGGCGGCATTTCCACACGTTTGCAATCTCCAAGCTCTAAAAATTTGCACATTCCCCCGCCCAGGTTATTTTTTTCTCTCAAGTGATCTGAATTACTAAAACATTCAGTTCCAAGGCATTTGATTTCATCAACTTTGGAGGGTGGGAGGGGGAGCGTTGGTTGTGGAAGTTTCAGATTAAAACTTGAAGGTCCAGAGAGACCCTTTACTGATGAATGAACTTTACTAAGTCATTTTTAGATTAAAAGAGAGCTCTTTCAAAATGTCGGTACTCTGAACGAGGATTTATTTACATCATCACTCATAGTGCATTCGGATAGGCAGATCATAGTACTCTACGGGAGTTGAGGAAAGCAGTATTTTAGAAATTGGTGTGTTTTAGTTAAGGAAGGCGTCTCTGTCCCTGTAAGTTTGATTGTTCTTAATATCTCTATTGCAGCGTTGTTTTTCCTACTAAATAATAAGCATGAGCATCTTAATGGTTGGCACTATGTATCATTTATATTTGTAGTCCCCAGAATGGCTTTCATATATTAGACACTTAAATTCGAAGACTTTTATAGTTTGCGTTGACTTCCCACAATTCCAATATTGGGGGTTGGAGGCTGGAGGTGAGAGAAAGCATTTGAAGAATGCTGGAGATAAATTATGTTTTGTAATTTTACCTTGTGCTAGCAGGCAATGTTTTGTAGAAAAATGATCTCTTGGATAACCTCAGTCACTGTTGTCTTTGGTGGGAATAAATAAAAAATGAGTCAGGATATTTTTAGAGTTGCAAACCTCAGGGTTTTCAGTTCAACTCTTTCTCTGGGTCAAAGTTAATTCACACTCTCCAAGTTAAGAAACTTTCTCAAATTAAGCTGACTGCCTCTCTATTCAGTCTCTGCAATTTCCTTATTAATAAGAGGGGTATGAAGTGAATATGTGGTGGAATAAGAACATGTATAAACCACTGGAATAAAATCATGTCAGGATTCTACTGTGATACATACTTTTGTTTCCCCTATTCTCTCCCATTTTATTATTTAGTCCATGCTGTACTTAATCTATTTGAAATCATGTTCAGATGATCTAGGCTTCAAGAGGTTGATATGATCTACAAGTAACTGACTCCAGAACCCATGACTTTCTCAATTATGATATACATACTGTAGGGGCAGAAAAATATCTTTTTCCTCTACTCTTGTTACTGAACTCAGGTCTGGCTGCTTGCAGCCCCAAATCAATACTTGAGAGAAGACAAACGCTGGTAGAAAGGAAAGCTGTTTTTAATCAGAATGGTGGCAGTCTGGGGAGATGGTGGCCTCAGCGTCCCCCCAAAAGAATCTCCAAAGATTCTGCTTGGCCATTAAAGTTTTTAGAGGGAAAAAAGGAAGTAAACTCATTCATCATTGAGATAGGGGGTCAGAGTCATCACCATCCCCCGCTGTGTGCAGGTTAAGGTGCAAGCTTGTCGACTTCTTGTGATTTTTCTTTAAATGCTATCTTGTTCACACAGTTAATTCACGAGTTTACTAAAGGGGAAGCTAGGGAAGAGAGCTGGTCATCTGTTAATTACTTATTCTTCATTTCCACTTCTTTGATCTATGGAAAGAACCAACATCTTAGCAAGGTATTGTGTGATCAAAAGATTTGAAAGGTGTGCTAGGGCCAGAGATGAGTAAAACATGGGGGTGCCTGCTTTATAGTTAGTGTCAAGACAAAAGGGGGCTCCTGCAGAGAGCTCCTTCCTGCCAAAAGCTGCTTACACTCTTCTAAGTTCTCAACTGGGACATCTGTAACAAAAGACAGATTGAGAAGAAAAAAGCATACAAATTTATTTAATATGTTTTATGTGATATGGGAGCCTTCATAAGGAAGCGAAGGTCTCAAGGAATAGTTTAAACCTGAACATTTTTGTGCTAGACTTGATGGAGAGCAGAAAATCATGGAAGGATGTGATAGGGCAAAAAATATGAGGTAAGTGTATTAAGCTGAAGGAAACAGCAATGCCAGCTCATTCAGATTCCTCTGGGTCCCTTTGATAGGGACAGAGTAAAGGGACAAAGTGGGTGATTAAATAGTTAATCCCACTAGGGGATCGTAAGTAGAGAAAAAAGTATGGGATACCCCTGTAAGTTAATGATCACTCGAGAAAGCAGGTTTGCTTAACCACAAAACCAAGCAGGTTTGCTTAGCAACAAAACCATGCAACAGAAGCATAAGACATGCCCCCAAATAATAAAACAATGGTGGCATTAGACTAATATTCTGCCCAGTGAGTTCAGTAAGTTAATGATTCCTAGTACATGCTCCTCCGGGCAAACTAAAAACAAAAATATAAGGAAAGGGTGACATTATACTGAAACCTGAGATGATTTACCATTTTTAGTGTATGTTACTGCCTTTTTGTTCATTTCCATTGTGCCAGGACAGTCCTGGCTTGACCATGCAGGGACAAGAAAACTCCCCCACCTGACGTGGAGAAGGAACTGATTATGGAAGCATGACGCCTACTCAAGAATGAGAAAGAAGGTGGTCTTTTTCCCCCACCTCACTTTTCCTTTGATTACAAAACTGTAGTTCACTAAGTTCTTGGGGCGTGGCACCCTCTCCCCTGCCCACTTGTAAGCCTCACAAGCATCCTATTCTAATAAATCACTTCTTATTTATCACTTTGCCTCTTGCTGAATTCTTTCTGTGATGAGACATAAAGAACTGGAGTTCCTCAGAGCCCCCCCGAGGTGCATTTCTGCAGTTTCACCTTCGTCTTCAGAAATAACGATGCTTCTTTCTTCTGAGTACAGGAAGGTCACCTCTCATGTGAGAGTTTTATGACCTACTTCAGGGGAAGGTAAGAATGTCCTTCCTAGGTTTTATAATCTGCTTCATTGGAAGGTCAGATAGTCCTTCCTGCACATCTATTTCTCAAATTCCTTACACTTGAAATATTCAATATGCCAAAGTGCCACATTTTGGACTAGCGTGTCCTGATCTCCTGTCAATACCTGAAAGACTACTGACCTTCCCCTGAAACAGTGGACATTCTTTGAAGGTAGAAGAACAAGGCCAGCCATTCATGCCATGTGTTTCTCTCTGTACTGATTGCCACCAAGATCTTACATTAAATATCTGATCCCACACATCCTTTTAAGATAATTGGAAAGTTTTAAGGAAATAAGGGGTTTTAGAAGTGTTAGTTTCATTAATAATTTACTTGCCTTCATTTTACAGAAGCTGAAGTTAAAATAAGTGGTTTACCTGAAATCATGTAGGAAGTTAGTGGCAGAGCCGTGAAATTAGAACATCAGACCAAAAGTAATAAAATAGCATCATAGACTTATGGCTTAAAATAATCTTCAATTTATACTGAACTGAATGTTTCATTAGTCCCATTAACCTTTTATTTACATTCTATTCCTTTGTGTTTCTATTCACCAAGTGAAAAATACAGGTTTCATTTTTTTAAAAAATTTCCATGGTGAAGACTAATTGCATCAAAATCTGCTGAGGAGCTTTGTGAAAAACTAGGTTCCAGGGTACTATCTCACACCTCTAAATAATAATTTTCACATAATAATCATCAGTGAAAAACATATTACTTAAGAATGCTAAGAAACACTAAAGGCCCAATAGAGGTCTTCATAGAATACTCCACTAGTTTGTTGGTGAATTACTTTTACTGTCTGCAAATTGATGAAGTTGTTGTCACTTGTCTACTTCAGGATTATGACATCTCTCATAACCTATTAATGCTTTTCCAAGGTCTGCCACTAAATCAAGACCTCACATTAACATAGCCATTTCTAGGGATTTTAATGAAGTAAGTTATGTTTTAGTAGATCTACATTTTAAAACTGATCACCATTAACATTCACCTTATATTCTCCATTTTCCATATGTCTTTATTTTGTGAAAAAGTCATCATTAGAATGTGTGGTCCTATCATCATAGATCCTCAATTAAACTTTTTATTTTGTCCTTGTCTTGAATTATGATATAACAAGTTATGGCAAAACGGGCAATTTCTTTTGGAGTTCTAAGGATAGGTAGTGTGTATAAGAAATAAATCTTTGTTGGTTTAAGCTATTAAGATTTTGCATTTATTACTGCCATAAAAATTCCCTAACAGTGAGTTTCCCCAAATGTTGTAATTCTGATAACTGAAAAATTTATGTAAGTACTATTACTTTGAAGTGATAGTCCAAGTACTATTCTTCTTATTGAGAAGGATAGTACTTTTCCACTTTTTACTGAACTAAAATACTGACCACTTGATAGTCACAGTGATGGTTTACTCACTTTTTGGTGCCAATTTGTTCTAGCTATAGCTGTACCTTGGGCCAAAATCATAGATGGTAACCTCCAAAATGCAAGTATCCTTGAGGTCAATCTCAACATTCCAATTTTAAATAATGTTTAAAATTCATCAATTAATTCATCAATTAATTAAAAAGAAAACACAACACAAAATTTTGGTACTAAAGCTTTAGCCAATATTTTAGCTCTTTACTGAAAATATCTTGGAGATAAGCTGTAAGGTGACCAATCTTCCTGGCTTGCTGGAGACTTCCCAGTTTTAACTTTGCAAGTTACGGGAAATCCTTTGGTCTCAGACAAACAGGGTTGAGTCATCATCTGGAAAGTTATACCACACAACCCAAAGCAAAACTTCCTAAATATTCCTTATAATACTGGTTCTTAAAGTGTGGTCTCTGGACCAGCAGCATAGCATCACATGGGAACCTGTTAGA